AAAATTCCATTAGTTACCATGGACTATAAAGGAACATAATGTTATTGCTGATCCTTCCTATGATGTAAAGCTTCTTTTACCTATTAATGACATGCTTTTATTTTGTGGAAAATATCCAGCCTCTGTTGAAACTTCAAGCTGATTTAGAAATACTTTGATCATTGTAAAATGTATTTGTTTTCAAGTTCAGGGCTTCATCATTTTCAAACCTATTTTTAACTTGTGGTTGCTTACAACTGCATCTTTTTCGAATTTCAATTAGCAACTTCCCCATGGAAACTTTCCTTTCTTGGTGTGATAGAATGGCCAAAAGGATCATATATTATTTGATTTTACTTAACCATTAGGTCTAAAAATCTTCATGAAAACCATTAGGCATAAAAACTTTCTATGCCTCATGTATTGTGTAAATGCTTTGGTGTGGCCTCTTTGATCCAYAAGTGTATCCTTGTTACAGAAGATGGATATTTATCATAATTTCCTGCATATGATGTCCTATTAATAGGCCCTCTCTTTGCTTAAGTTTAAGAAGGGCAACCAAATGCCAGAAGATTATATGAAGCCTTTTAAAAAAGCAATTCCAGTCTTTCGGCATGCTAGAATGTATGTTGATGTTGTTCAATTTAGCAGTTGATCTATTATTGATTCTTATTGCTTTCCCTAATGAATGGAATTGATTTGTCACTCTTTTTTTATGTAGATATGATACTGGCTCAAAGATTTCATTTTGAGGTACCTGAGCTGAAGTTGAATCTGGCTAGTAGGCTCTACCAGAGTTGTTTTTGTTACTTCACTGCTTCATCCTAAATCTGATGCTCCACTTGACACTTCGTTCTCCTCAAGAGGAAGGGCCGGAGTGTGACTTTGGAAGAGTGTGACATGTCCAAATAACTTGTCTTTCCTTGAGAAGGTTGTGCTACAAGAGCATAGCCACTTATCACGGCCACAATGCTTCTCACGTGTCTTGAGATCTGTAATGACAGAACTTCTTATTGTTGCATCTACTGCAAGTGTAGCTCTTGTCACAGTGGGACCACTTATAATGACTTTTCGTACACAGGATAGTCTTCAGTGGTTGGAACTTCTTATAGCCTATGATGGAAGTTAGATCATTCTACTTATAGGATCTGCCTCTGCGACAAGGGAAAACAAGAGATTTATGTTTACATAAAAGGTCAACCTGTGGGTTTGTTGGTGCTAATCTTGTAGCTCTATGCACCGAGTTTGCTCTTCACTGAATCTGCTCCAGAGAAAGATGTGATCGACTTGGAAGATGAAAAAGTAGATGCTCAGATATTGACCACGAAGTGGATTTGCATTGGAGGATGTGATACAATTCGAAATATTGATTTTTTTATGTCCTTGTAATTTTTATATATCAATTGGATAATATATTTGAATAATTTGTTTTGGGTAGTGTATTTGAACATTTTATTTTAGATATGATAATAATTAATATTTAAATTAATAGATTTAAGTTGTTTAAGTTTTCATGTATCAATTTTCAAGAATATATAAAACATGTATTAAAGTGATGGATCAATAAAGTGCAAGTGTAAAAAAATTATTGAAATTAACCTTACATATAAAAAAACATAGCTCTGAGTCGGTGATCAACTAATTGGCGGCTTAGCCATAAATAATGCTACGTGTGGCAATCAGATATGATATAAGTCAGCGGTTCAGACCGCCACGTGAAAGAGAAGTCATCTTTTGGCAAAACTTTAGCCAGCGGTTCAGACCGCCACGTGAAAGAGAATTCATCTTTCGGCAAAACTTTAGCCAGCGATTCAGACTGCCACCTAAAGTTACTGGCCATTTTTGGCAAAAACCTAAGTCGACGTTCAGAAATGTTTGCACAAATGTCAATTTCAAATCTAGTCGGCATTCTACTATTATTTGTACCGGCGGTTTTCAATGCCAATTTTTTAAATATTTATTTTTTTTTTTTACTTTTTCCTTGTCGGTGTATAACTACTGGTATAAGGAAGGATAAGCCGATAATATGAACAAACCGCCGACAATGATTAATTCAATGGCCTAAGTTGGTGCCACCTACGCCGGCGATTCTATGTGGATATTGTGGTGGACTTTATTTTTGCTGATAGTGGCTATACTGGGAAAGAAAGACGGCCGGCTTAAGTCAATGCCAGCACTCATGAGATTTGTGTCGACGAATCATGACCGCCAGCTAAAGCTTGTTTCTTATAGTGTCCATTCACCTCATGGTAGTGTCCACTTCTGAACAGATATATACAATGCTGAATTCTTTGCCCTCCAACTCTTCCCAAGTTTCAGTGGCAGGAAGCTCTACAATACACAAACTACCACTTGAACACAACCAAAAGGCTTTTGGAGTTTTGGGGGGACAGAGAGAGGACTGAGAGAGAGACGAATGGATGGGAAGGAAGATGCGGGGGAGGAAAAGATCAGACCGCGCCTTTCCTCACACGCCATTTTTTTTTTTCATTTTTACTTTTATGTTATACCGACGGAAATATTCGTCAGTATAGATATCCTTCATCGACCGATGCTGATCCGTCGGTATATGTAAATCTACACCGACGGAAATAACCGTCTGTAAAAATAGTTGTCGGTATATGCAAATTTTCTTGTAGTGGTCCATGTCATTCACCTTGCATAATGGAAGTTCTTGAAACACTCAGACTCTTTTGTTGCAATTCAAGATTTCTTTCTCTGATGGCTGTTTCTAGAATCTGAACCATTTTTGCTTTATATAGAGGCTTATTGACCACCAGCAAATGCCCTTTCTTTCAGAGCTCCATCTTAATAGCATTAGAGGTTTCACGGTTAGTATCCAGGAAAACTTTGCTTTACTACGAAATTAATCAAGAAACTTTAGCTGCTCTTTCCATACTACAACTAAGTGCAAGAAGCACCTGCATTCACAATTTAAATGTATATTACAAATTAAGAATGTAGATAACACAACCAATAAGAAGATAAAGGAAGAGAAAGAACAATATAAACAATAAGTGCTAGGGTGGTGATTTTGCAATGGAGAAAGAACATCTATAAAGCAATAAGTACCTAGAGATGAAAAAATCAGCACCTTCACAAGTTTGGAGTCAGCACCAAACATTTTAGTAGAGAAATACCGTCTAAGGAAATAATCACTTCTATGGTACACTAAATGGTATCATAGAAGTGGTAACCAATCAACTGGTATTCATCTCAAGAAGAGTGCAACTCTGGAAATCCTATACTTGATATGCAACAATCTAGGCATGTGTCTTATTGTAGGACCTCCACCATTCTGTTCCCTGACTTCCTTCGTAAGTAACCATCTCTCTCTCTAAGACACAGACAGACACAGAAGCTAGGTATTATGGGACCACTTAATTCTGAACAGATCACCATAGCTTAGTTATCTAGTCTCCTAAAGATAAGCACAACTTGTTACGTTTGACCCATGTAATGTCTGAAATACATGGCATATCCTGCCAAACTTCTCATCAAGTCTGACACAAGTTTGAATCTTAGTAACCTAAACTGCCCTAGAGGGTACAGCCTATGCAAAATCCATTGTTCCTAGAAGTTTGTAGTCAATGCAGTTCATATTATCAAACAAAACTTCAAGTTTATTACATTTCTCTAGTATATAAACAGAAAAGCTTTAAATTATTCTTATAATATAATGCTTGGTAAAATCAAAAAGCTTCCTTGAATCATAGGCTGTTCTATGATTCAAAAAGCTTTAAGAATAAGGAGAAGGCATGTMCTAATAAGATGGAATTTTCTGCTTCCTTGAAGCATAGGTTGCAGAACAAGGAGACAAAAAACAAAAAATCTGAGAAGACAAAAATGGTGCCATCTAACAGAAGAAAACCAATAGAGAAAGACCATGTGAAATGTGTAGTTGGATCAAGATCTCGGGATTGGGAAAAATCAACCTCTATAAAGTTGATAAAGCCTGAAAGTGAACTGACCATCCCAAATGTTTGTTTATTGGTTATCAGGACTTGGGAAATGTTTGATTGCTAAATTTTCAAGGCTTTGAAAATTGATCCAATACCAATATTTGCAGTACATTAAGAGCGACTTCTAAAAAGAAGTATGACGGGGAAATTCTCTTTCAAATACAACAGAGTTATATAATGGTGCAGTTCCTGCCAAAACAATAATCTTGGCTTGGGATTATGGCTTTTAGGGAAATGCTCAAGCTTGTCTGGAGCCTACAGTGCCAAGCTCATGTCTAGCTTATTTAAAGCTCCACTTATGCTTGGTTCAATTACCATTCAGAAGAACTTGCTTAGTGAAGGGGAAAGAAGGATATATAACCATATCCTAATATATGGTTATATATATCCTTAATGAGTTGAGGTTTGAATGGGCCCATCCAACTCCAGCTCAACCCAGGCTCTTCTAGCAATAAAAATGCCAGGTCTTGGCAAAACATGAAGGAGCTGATCTGGCTAAGGTCATTTTCAGCCCCAGCTTGACTCCCCAAGTTTTTTGGGCCATGGCTTATCTAAGGATGTCCCTTTGCTTGTATGATCAACACTGATGGGTTGGGGACATTGTGCATATAGTGATTAATGGAATGGTCTTGATTTTTTTTATAGATCAAATGCATTTCATTGATAGAGAGCATATTGACGGTATTCCTACACTAGAGCTGAGAACCTGAGAAGAAGAGCCATAATTATCAAAGATAATAATATAGAAAGTGTTATCTGTACATGATGATACTAACTGGCATATCCTTCAACAATACAAAGAATTTCTCACTACCCCATAGATGGACATGAGAGCTTTTCATTCATCAAGGGAACAAATTTGCTCTGAAAAAAATTTACAGTACGTTTTTTGGCCTAAAGATCAGTGGCTAATTCATTCTTAAGAAGTTTTGCCCTTTGATATCAGGTTCAAACAGTTTTAGCTGAATAAATGGGCACTTAAATTATTCAGTATTTGATCATGACAAGTTTCATCCTGAAGGGTATAGGTACTAATGAATTTCTGTTCTGTAAACTTACTGCACATTAACAAAGTATGAATTGTAGTTTGACAACTGCATGAAATTGACATTAAACAAACAATGGAATTCATTTCCAAGCTGCCAAAAAGCAACCCTAAGAATCAAGAATCAACATACAAATATACATGTACTCCAAGTTTCTTTTTCATTAATTCCACCAATACCTCATTGTGTAGATCCCTGCTGCAACTTCTGTCACTCCAGCACTTATTCTGGTCTATCAATATGGCCCGCAAGCCACCTACAAGAGAAGAAGACTCATCACTCCCACTCCAATACATACACAAATGTAGAGAAGAGGGATCTAATAACAGTGTCTAGCGAATGAAATAACAAACCTAGAAATGTGTTTGCCGTTGCCGGTTGGTGTCGTCCATGGAGAACATAAAGAAAATCAAATATGATATCGAATACAGAGAGAGAAGGAGAGAAAGACAGAGAGAGAAAGAGGAGATAGAGATTTGGTTAGATACCGCCGTTGGTTCCGTCCTCGCCGGTGGTGTGAAGTTTGAGTAAGAGAGAGAAAGAGACGACTGTGGGAGAGATTCATTCGAGGAGGAAGAACGAACGAAAAGACCTTAACGTCTTTATTATTTGAAATGAATTTCTTTTTTTGAAATGTGGTTTTAATTGTTGTTTTTGAAACAGGTTACCTGCGATACCGTGTATTCATGGAAATATGGAAAAGATACTTTTTCCATATCATAGATTTTCTTATATATATATATATAGATAGATAGATAACAATTAAAATATAATCCAAAAGACATTTTCTTATCGAAAAATCTATGCTGCTGGAAGGAATTGCTACTAGAAGGGCTCTGCCCCAGAATTTCATAAATAACACCGGATAGGTTGCCACTTTTTTTATGAAGCTTATATGGAGAAAAGAGAGGAGTCCATACAACTTTCCTTTAAAATCAGAACAAAGTTGGTATTTAAAAGACTAAAGGAAATCAGTTGCTTATGATACAAAAATGAAACTATATACCGAAAACGGATAAAATATAACCCAAAAATAATGTTTGAGTTGGATTTTGACTAACTTTAACAACTTGACAAAGCTCATGAACGATCGACAGGCCAACGCCGCACCTCTCCCTCTCGTGTCTCAGACCTCCAAGACCTCTTGAACGATCGATAGGCCAGAAGAAATGGAAACGTCCCTACATCAAAGTACTCAGGGAACAAGGCCGACCCGTTCCGCGTCCGGGATGACCAGGATGAGGCCCAAGTCCCCATCGACCAAAAGATCGTCAATCTGCAGGCGCAACTCAGCACCGTCAAAGACGAAGTCCACCAGGTTAAAGAGAGTTAAGTTGATGCCTTGGCAAGCAAGAACCCTTTGTCTGAGAAAATGGATGCCCTCACCACCGATAGCACCTTGGAACCCCTCCCATCGTACTTCAAAGCATCGACGCTCGAGATGTACGATGGAACATCCGACCTGAACGACCACCTGGAAAGCTTCAAGGCACTCATGCTCGTTTGTGGGTATTCTGACACCTTGACGTGCCGAACTTTCTAGGCAACCTTCAAAGGGGCAGCCTGCTGATGGTTCTCCAAGCTCCCCACTCGGTCCATCAGCTCGTGGGAGCAGTTCGTCAGTCTCTTCCTCGTCCACTTCATCACCAGCCGGTGATGCCAGAAGAGCGTCGTCTCGCTCATGACAGTTCGAAAAAAGCGTGGTGAGAGCCTGTGGTCCTACATCGACCACTTCAAGGAGGAAATTGAGGTTTAGGACCTTGACCCCATGGTCTCCATGCGCGCAGCCATCAATGGCCTCCTATCTGGCTCAGCCCTCAAATGCTCATTTGCCAAGGCCCCGCCCAAGTCCAAGGTGGAATTCTTGAAGAAAGCCCAGAAGTACATCGCCACTGAGTAGTATCAGCCATCATCTTTATGGACGAGGACTTAAAGGGGATCTCGGTCTCCCATGACGACGTGCTAGTAGTATCGGCCATCGTCGCAAACTTTATGGTAAATCGGATACTAGTGGATAGCGGCTCCTCAACCGACATCCTCTTCTACAATGCTTTCGGGAAGAGAAGACTCGCCGGCTTCTCCAGGAAAGTTGTCAAATTGGAGGGAAGAATCACCCGACCAATCACACTAGGGACAAAACCTTGGCAGGTGACGAGGATGAACGAGTTCCTGGTCRTGAAGATCGGCTTCCCCTACAATGCCATCATCGGGCAGCCAACCCTCTATGCACTCAAGGCAGCCATCTCCTCTTACCACCTCGCTCTCAAGTTCCCCACCGAACACAGCATCAGAGTCATCCGGGGGGACCAGCAAACCGCCCGCTAGTGCTATGTCGTAGCACTAAAGGGCAAGAACAAAGAAGCTTTACCGTTAAAGGGCCTCGACCATAGGGAGGAACTCGCAAGCCAAGGCTAACCGGCCGAGGACCTCGTCTCGGTACCCATAGACAAGGCCGAGCCCGAGAAAAGGGTCTACGTCAGGTCCAACCTTCCTCCAAACTACCTTTTTGAACTGGTAAGTTTCCTCAAAGTTAATGCCGACGTCTTTGCTTGGTCTTCCACTAACATTCCCAGAATTAACCCTTCGATCATTACTCATGGGCTGAGCGTGGACCCGAGCTCTAGGCCAGTTCAGCAGAAGAAGAGGAACTTTGCATGGAATGATGACAGGCAATAGGAGAGGAAGTTAACAAGATACTCAATATCGGCTTCATCCGAGAGACCTCAACTGAGGGTACGAGCTGCTCAGCTTCATGGACGCCTTCCCTAGAAACAACCAAATCAAGATGCACCCCGAGGACAAGGAGAAGACCTCGTTCATCACCGATCACGGAACATAATGTTACAAGGTCGAAGCCTAGTGATGCTGGGGCCACCTACCAATGCCTAATGAACAAAGTCTTCAAGCACCAAATGGGGAGAAATGTCAAAGCCTATGTAAACGACATGGTTGTGAAGAGCCTGAAGGCCGACCAGCACAACTTGGACCTAACCGAGACCTTCGACACCTTGCAGTACCAGCCGAGGCCTAAGATCAAAGCACAAGCCCTGGTTGACTTCGTGGCAGAATGCACCTTTAGCTCAGCCCTTAACCAGGCCCCACAAGAGGTGGACGAACCTCGGCCAACCGACGAACCTCAGCTGACCTGGAAGCTTTTTGTCAACGGGTCCTCCAACTCGAAGGGAAGCGGACCAGGTCTCATACTCCTCAACCCAAACAACACTAAAGTAGAATATGCTTTGAAGTTTGACTTCTCGGCCTCCAATAAGGAAGCCGAGTGTGAAGCTCTGCTCGTAGGCCTACATCTCGCCAAGGACCTCGGCTCCTGACACATTGAGGTCTTCGGTGACTCCTAGCTAGTGGTGAACCAAGTTAACGACAAATACGAGCCCAGAGAGCATAGCATGGCCAAGTACCTAGCCAAGGTCCAAGAGCTTGCCAGCCACTTCCAACACTTCACTTTACAACAAGTCCCGTGGTCCGAAAATATGAGCATCGATGCCCTATCCAAGTTAGCAAGCACCTCGGGCGCAGCCCTCGACTGCACGGTCCGTGTTGAAAAGTTAGCATGCCCCAACATTGAAGAAGTCCAAGCGTTCCCTGTGCAAGCTGAGCCCTATTGGATGGACCCCATTATCACCTATTTTCTGAACGAGAAACTGCTCGAAGACAGAAATGAAGCTAGGAGAGTCCGACAACAAGCAGCCCATTACACACTTCTCGAGGGAAAGTTGTACGGAATGTCATTTAGTTTGCCCTACCTCTGATGCCTTCGTCGGGAGGAGGGTGAGTATGTTCTCCAAGAGATCCATGAAGGCATCTACGGCAACCACCTCGAAGGCAGAGCATTGGCCCAAAAAGCACTAAGGTAAGGATATTTCTAGTCGACAGTACAAAAGGATACAGCCGAGCTAGTACAAAAGTGTGACCTATGCCAAAGACACTCCAACATCTCCCATCGGCTAACCACAACTCTTTCAGCCCTCTGTAGCCTATGGCCCTTTGCCATGTGGGACATGGACCTCCTCGGCCCGTTCCCTCAAGCCATTGGAAACAAAAATACCTCATCGTCGCTATCGACTACTTCACGAAGCGGGTGGAAGTCGAGCCCTTAGCTACCATCACAACCAGAATGATTTAAAACTTCTTTTGGAAGAACATCATCTGCCACTTCGAAATCCCTCATATGCTAGTCACCGACAACGGGAAGCAGTTTAACGATGCAAGGTTCAAAGAATGGTGTGTCGGCCTTGGCATTAAGTAGCAATACACCTCGGTAGGCTACCCACAAACCAATGACCTAGCCGAGGTCACCAACAGGACAATCCTAAAAGGATTGAAGACCAGACTGGACATAGCCAAAGGCCTCTGGGCCAATGAAGAGAAGGGGCCCCGACACCTTGGCGGCCTAGTTTAACCTCGTCCAACTGATTTTTTATGGCAGTGGAGAACAAGCCAGGAGAGCTAAGGCCTTCACCTCCCTTTCTTTCTCACAAAGGAAAGGGGCCCCAAACCCTTCGGCGGCATAGCTCTGCCTCGGCTGAGCTCCCTTAACTTCTTAAGCGAACGACTAAGTAATAAGCCACTTCGGATAACTTCTTTGCCACTTATGACCTCTTAGAAGGGGGCATCAGCCCCTAAGCAAAATAAATGTGCAAGTACAAAAAATAGACAGTAAAGGCACAAGTTACGAAAAAAGTGTATTTCAATAAGTAACTTCAAGTATCATCTTTACAAAGACTAGCCTCGGATGGGGGAGGCTAAGCCCCTTACAAAATAACATAAGCAAAAAGCACAAAAGAGAAGACAAGGAGTAGCCTATGCAATGTCCTTGGCAAGAGCAGGGTCCTCGAGTGAAGGAGGAACGTCAGTGGCAGGCACCTTGGTAGAAGGAATGACCTCAACAGTGGGCACTCCGGCAGAAGGAGCTTCAGCCTCTAGGACCCCCAGCTTGTCCATTGGGAAGTCAGCCATTAACTACAACACCTACAGCTTGGTGTCTTCGGTGCACTCCAAGTAGGAGTCCACCAAATAGTTAGTCAGGGCATGCTGGTACTAGGTCATTGTCTTCCAAATCTCAATGATGTCTTTGGCCTTCTCCTTGGCCTCCAAAACTTGTGCCCAAGCTGCCGCCAGGGCAGAAAGGAGGGAGAGATCCATCGTATGGATGCCAAATATGCAGCGGAATAGGGTGGGCGAATTTCAAAAATTTCTCTCCTCCCTTCCAACTGGGAATCATATTCCCTGATTTTAGAA